ATGGATGGATGGATGGATAATGGGTGGATGGATGGATGGATGGATGGATGGATGGATGGATAATGAGTGGATGGATGGATGGATGGATGGAAAATGGAGGGATGTATGGATGGATAATCGATGGATGGATGGATGGACGGATGGATGGATGGATGGATGGATGGATGGATGGATTGACTGATGGATGGATGGATGTAAAATGGGAGGATGGTCTGATGGATTTATGAAAATGGAGGGATGGATAGATGGATGCATGGATGGATGGATGGATGGGTGGATGGATGGATGGGTGGATGGGTGGATGGATGGATACATCGATGAATGAATGAATGGATGGATAATCGATGGATAGACGGATGGATGGATGAATAATTACAAAGTGAATGTTTTTATTCTGACAATATCCGTCGGTTAGAAGAGTCTTGAATCATTCTTCATAACCATGTCTGTCAAAGCAGCCGCTGAATGACAGAGTTAGTTTTACAAATGCTTGTTTTTTTATTTTATTTTTTACAACATATTAAGTGGATCAAAAGTAGATGTAGATTTTTTTTTTTTGGGTGGATTGTGAAAGATTTAGCTCTCACAGAAAGAAAAAGGCCTCCAGAGGTTAACAGTTGTGAACATTGGTCAGTGGCTTCCGTTGTATGAAGCACCATACAGTCTCTGAAAATTTTTGTATTCTATCATTTAACCCCTCCTTTGAAAATGTGCAGAAATGGACTGAAACGTGAAAAAGTGCCTTCGACCTTTCATCGTATTAACCGTGTTTTGATGAGCCTTTAACTGGGATTCTGACCTTTTCTGTGGAAATCAAATTATCTTCATTTTAGTAAACAGGTCTGACGTTACATCCAGTTAAATGGGAAGTTCCCCCCTCTGTCTGGGGGGGGCTGAAAGGCTTAGGAGGCGTCACTCTGAAATAGAATCTCAACTGGTTAAATTTAGGAGATCAGGACTGTAATCTGATGTTGCACTTCCTCTGCATTCTTTTTCTTAAAACACTTCTCGTTTAACTGTGAGATGTTTTAAGAGTTACAGCCCTGAGAAAAAGTGAACAGAGCTACCACAGAGCTAAAATGACACAGGGCACATGTTAAAAAAAAAGATGATGTGGTTGTGAGGCCATGCAAGTGTGACTCATGTGTTGATGGCAGGAGAGCCCCCCCCCCACGCAGAAACTATCTGCTCCTCTATGCTGCATCTCACAGAAACACAGATGGTGAACCCAAAAATGTTAAAGACGGGTCCTTTTGGATCCTAAATTTGGAATGAGAACAGCTTTCCACACGCCATTTCCCTTCTATTCTGTTCATTTTCTATTTGTCAAATAACTCCATCTGGTTTTTTATATTCTTTGTTTATTTTCTTTTTAATTTTAGAGACTGAAAAACACAATTCTTTAAGCATATATATATATATATGTGTGTGTGTACTCCACACATGGGTTCACTATGTGTTTCTGGCTGGTTCAGATAAGTCGTGCTCAGCTTTTCGGTTCCCGTTTTGTTTTCAGACCCCAAAGTAGGGTAAAGTGTCAGAGACTATTGATTCTGCCTGAGCTGGCACAAAATCATCAATGTATTGGGGAATTTTGCTGAAATTTGACAGAAAAGATGCAGAATAGATATCTTTTTTTTAATGCCGCATGACTAGAGAAAGTCACAAAACATTCAATGGAGGTACTTTGTTCAATTTGAAAAGTTGCGTTTTACTGCACAGATCTGATCAGTGGATTTCTTCTATTTGGGTTTGAAGAACCTGTAAACAGACTGAAGTTGACTGAGCCAATAAAGCAAAGGCCTTTCCTGCTGACTGAAGTGTAACAGTCAACCACATCCTCATCTGGGAAAATCAGCAGATCGAGGTTCAGCAGCCTGCAAACAAATGCCAACAGTTGCTCCTGCACGACAAATGTTGCCTTGGATGTTCATTTGCCCTTAAACTGGAGTTTATCTAAAGGTTCTGATCCGAGACAGGCGCTTGTGTTATAAGTCCCACTTGTACTGGAGGTCTGAAGCGTACAGAGTGAATAGGAGGGGTGAGAGTACAGTGCCCTGTGGTGCTCCCGTGCTGCTAAAACTACCTGGTTAGACACACAGGTCTTCCGTCTCACAAACTGTGGTCTGTTTATCCAGTTGTCATTGATCCAGGCAATTGTTGAGGCTTCCGTCTGTGTCTTCTGGAGTTTCAGACAAAGCAGAACAGGCTGAATTGTGTTAAATGCACTGGAGAAATCAAAGCACATGATCCTCCCAGTGCGGCCTGCTTTGTCCAGATGACGGTGGAATTTGTTGAAGCAGGTATATGATGGCGTCTTAAACTCAGAACCACATAATAAATATATATAGAATATATAATAACGTGTTTCTTTTCAATATGATTTTATTTCTGGTGGATAATGATGGGAATCAATTCTTTCCTAAATCTGTGAAACAGTTTGAGTTTCAAATGTAACTCCTCCCCAAAGCAAAATATTACTTATTTAGAAAGGATGTCAGTTTCAGTTTCATCAAAAATGTCTCTTGCAAAAATGAACGTTAAGCAATTTGGGATGAACTTGACTATTTAACATGTTTTTTCACACCCTTTTCATAATAACCGAAGGGTGCCATACAGTGAACACTTTGTGTAAAGTTAGGGCTTTTAAAGAAAAAGGACCCACACACGTTGGACTTTAGAATAATCAACAGATGTTTTTATATTAAACGTGATAAGACAGTTTCATCACATTTTTTTAATCTTCTGGCTTTTAGCTGAGCACCTTTTCATAACCACACTTGTTAAAAGAAAAATCTAAATACACTGAATTGGGTGTGTTACCACTACTCTCACATTCATCGTCAAACACTGTAAATGGCTTTAGCCCGTTCTACTAGGGGATTCACCCATGTGATAAGTCAAAGCAAAGTTTTTAAAGACCACATATTAGCAGAGTCTGGATTATCATTCCCGTTAGCATTAATACTGGTATTGAACACTAAAGCCTTTATTTATCTTTATTTTAGCAGTCAATGAATCAAAACTGCTACATCACATTGATTAGGAAGAAAGGCATCCATAAGAGATAGAAAGTTGTATTGTAGCTTTTTTGTTTTCGTTTTATGGGACAATAGGAGGGAGGGACGGTGGTGTGGTGGTCAGCACCATGGGCACATAGCCAAAGGGTTTTGGGTTCGAGTCCCCGGGGGAACCGGGACCTTTCTGGGTGAGATTTGCATGTTTTTCCTGTGTCTGTGGGTTCTCTGGCTTCCTCCCACCGTCCAAAAACCCTGTGATGGACTCGCCCATTGACTACTGGGAGGTATCCCATTATGGAATCAGTGGTTACAATAATGGATGGATGCTAATGGTTTAGAGTGGCACCTTCCGTCTTAAAATTCTTCATGACAAATCTGGACAAATGGGTGACAATCTGGAGTTTGTTTCAGTAACACTACGCTGGCTGTTCCATTTACACTCACTAACGGAGCTTAACGTTACTAATGCCACAAACAAAAATGGGAGGTAGGAAAAATAAAAGGATTCAGCTCTCTGCATGGTACTGAACACAGAGGATAAAATTAAGCTGAGCTTTCAGATCGTCACCACATTCCTGACATCTTTTACCAGATATTTTTCTTGCAAAATTTGTGCATCTAAATGTAACCTAAACAGCTCAAATCTAACGACCGGTCACATTAAATTAGCAAAACAAATGTTCTTCTTTTCTCCGTTCCGCGTGCTGCCGAGCCTGCTAAGAGGGGAGAAATCCCTTCGTGGCAGGACAGAAATGAGGATAACACTGTGATTAAAGTGCTCCGTAAGCACTTTAAATGTAACTTCCGTTTAAACTTAAATGCACGTATTTTGAAATTCAAGCTATAACCGTATGCATCGGAAATGAATGTTGCAGCAACTAAACCCGCACAGAGCTGCTGTGCAAAGTGTTGCAAGTGGTTTAAAACAAGTGATATTGTCTGCTGGTCCCCTGACTTCCCAAAGAGATGTACGGACCTCAAACAGTCCAGATCGTCACACTAACGGACGGTTAAGTTTAAAATTAAATATCTCCGACGAGTGATAACGGCAAATGGGGTAGGGAAAAAAAAAGCAGCAGGGTTTTATGGTTATGTGTTTGACAGATGTCTTATCCTGCACAGGACGGCTCGATTAGAGGAGAATACGTGGAGGAAACACGAGCTCCAAAGTCCGAGTCTCCCAGAAAAAAGTTCAGTTTGACCGGTGTTCTGCTGTGCTGACCCTCAGACGAGCGGCCATCCCGGATGGTCTATGAAGCAGCCTTTGGTCGACGTCGGACTGGAACTTCCTCGTCCTGTTTGACGGGTATGAAGATCACGTTTGACTTAGGGATGTTTCGCCCATTTTGTAACGCTTGGTTTTAAGAATCGATTGTGCGCTAATCGTTGGAAAATTATGTCTAACGCACCGTTTCGCCTGTGTCTGCCGTCTCCTCTCCCTCCGTGTGCTCGCTACCGGGGGTGAAGGCCTCCAGGTCGGACAGCGCGCTCTCCACGGCCTCTTCGTCGTAGTCTGTCTGGTAGTCATCGGACGGCTCCTCTGGATGCACACGACAGAATGATCCCAAACAGTGTTCGTCCCCACGGAAACAATCACATTTAAGCACAGACCGTGTCACAAAAGCCTTCCTGGCTTTGACATTTATCCCTTTACTGACTGACCCTCTATGATGGCGTTCTTCACGGGCTCAATTCTTGACACAATCTCTGCCAGGTCAGTGAAGGAAGCGTTTGGACACGTGACCACCTGAAAGACAGCAATAGTCCACCAGACGTCAAGATACCAACCGGGGGACCCCGTTATCTAAGAAGCACGGCGGAATCTGAACGGCGTAAAAGGGCAGCTGCATTTAAAGAAGCGCGGAATGAAACGGTCCGACCGGAGAAAGCGAAACTACGACCATCCTGGGGGTCAGGGGGCACTCACGTGACCGCCGGCCTTTGTCCTGTGGAACTCCTCCTGGTGCCGGTCCTTCATCATGCTGTCCACCACGCCGCTGCGGTGCCACACGTCGAACAGGGTCTTCCCGTGCTGGTAGCCCACCTCCTGCCAGAACAGACAGGGGCCCGGCGTGAGACCCGGCGCAGTCGGGTAGATAAGGGGGGTAGAGTAGGGTAGATAAGCGGGGGGGAGGCTCACAGCGATCTCGTCAAACTTGCCGAAGTCCAGGGTGCCATAGCGGTCGATGGGCGGCCGGATGTATTCGCAGTACTCGCAGTCTCTGACCAGCTCCAGCTGCCGGACGCAGCACACGTAGGCCAGCCGGGTTTGGATCTCCGCCATGTTTAGGACCTTCAGGGTGGAAAAGAACGCACGTAAAAAAAAACGACGACCGCCAATTCGTAGCCGGTTTAATGAGCGGTAGGTTACGGGCCCAACGTACCTTGACCTTCTCGGCCAGGGGATTCAGCCGCCTCCACAGCAGCCACCAGCCGCTCAGGTAGTCGCCGTAGTTGGTCAGGCTGGTCTCGTTCCGGCTTCCCACGTCGATGGCGATCACGACTTTGGCCCCCATGGAGCGAGCCACGTCAGCTGGACACCAGAGTCACAAAAAAGTAGGTCATTCTTCTATCTTTGTGAACAAGTCGGCCCCATTAGTTCAAAAAGGTTATAATGTTTCAGATTCTGAAGAGATTTGCAGGTGACTCAGATTCTGTCAAACAATTATTCAGCTTCGGAGCCCTTTTCCTTTGGGATGAATAAGAAATTGGGTCTATTTATTAGAAAAATTATGATTTTACTGCTTAATTCTGCCAAAATGAAACTGAATGTCATCAACTTGGCTAAAAAATATGAACCTGACTGAGCATTTGCCTTAAAGAATCGGGTTATTGCTGGACAGGAACATTTTAAATGACTTGACATTTGCATTATGTGATGAGGACGAATTCATTACGACTTTACTTCATTATCCATAATTGTGGGTCTGGGGATTTCGGTTGTTTTCACTCTGGGCTACATGTTTTCGGACTGCAATCTGAAGCAGTGGACTTAACAGCACTGCCCTCTTCTGGTTAGGGAGGAGCCCATATTTGGAGGGCTGAGCCACTATTGGGAAAACAGAAACCGTTTTCATTCAGTGGTGACACGTCAACAAAGGTTATCACCACTTTTATCCTGTTATGGTGCTCATAAGGTTTTTTTCTCTTTGTAACAGTACCATTAACAACTCTGTGTAACATTTGTAGAAAACTGTAAGGAAAAGGAAGATTTTGAAGCAATTTGGTGCATTTTGCTGTTGAGGAATAGCAGCATTCATAAGTACGCATGACATATGAAACCAGTTTCAATGTCAGTTTAGTCAAACCATTAAGAGAAAGTAAACAGTTTAGTGTTCTGGGCTTTCACCCGAGAGAGACACTGCGAGTAGAAACAAGCACGTGTTGAAAGAGTCAAATTCCATTCCCGCATTTCTCTCTGGCGTGCGATAGCACCCTGTGGCGGCTGATGCTGGAGGGCGGCTGAACGCGATATGCTGGTGTGCGGGGAGTGGAGGGAAGCAGCTCAAACCCGGGGACCCTTTTCTGGATGTCAGTGAGTCATTAAAATGTGTTTACACGGCAGCTCTCTCAGACCGCGGCCACAAAGGGCTCCACAGGAAGGACGTCATTTAGGACGATTATCCCGACAAACAGTAATCCTCCCTGAGGGGAGCATGTCTGGCAAAAAGAAAACGGTTCCCCGTACAGAACCTTGAGGGAACACATTAGGGACACCTGCGAGGTCGGATGTAATGTTGTGTAGACTAAGACTCTAAACCAGTCATCCCGACCACATCCCTCCGTCTATTTATCAGGATGAGGTGGTAAAATGTGTCACAGGCGGATGGGGAGAGCACATCTTCCTGAATGAGACATGAATGGAGCTCATTTAGGAGCATATTCATAGATGACTGCATGAGGACGATGCTTCAGGTTAAGAGTATTTTTTCTAGGTGGAAAATGTAATTACAGTAGAGCCTCTACATACAAATTGAATTTGTTCCGGGACCTACTTTGTATGTTAAAATATTCGTATGTTGGTTAAAATATTCCCATAATAGGGCCGCAGCCGTAGCCTAATGGTTAGAGTGGGCGGCCCATTTACAGAGCCTCTGCTCGTAAGCGGGCGGCCTGGGTTCGATTCCGGCCCACGGCCCTTTCCCGCAGGTCTCCCCCTCTCTATCTCTGCCCCCTTTCCTGTCAACCTACTGTCATTAAAGGCCACTAGAGCCAAAAAATCTTTTAAAAAAATAAAAAAATTAAATAAAAAAAATATTCCCATAATGATACACTGTAATTCCTATAATTTGTTCCTCATCCCAAAAACCTATGATAACTCCTTAATAAATACAGCATATAATCACACATATCAATAAAACAAATGCATTATATAAGAAAGATGTTAACAAAAAAAACGTTAAAGATATAATCGATATAACGTTTTTTTTATTGGCACTTTACCTTACAGACTAGCAAATTAAGGAGACAGTCGGTGTGGAGGTAGAGGTGGTGACAGGTAACTTACTCTAACTTTCACTACGTGAAGTTTAAACTAACTTAGCCTATTTATTTTTATTTAATTTGTATATTTTATATAATTTTTTTAATGACTGACGTCGTTTTTTGGGTGTTGAGTCGAATATTGGATCAAATTTAACTTCGGATGTTGGAAAATTCGCATGTTTAGGCAACCGTAAGTAGAGGTTCTACTGTATACATTTTTTCAGCTGTTTTTCATGCATATGACTACAGGCAGAAGAGTGCCACTCACAACACAGGTGTGAGCCCTTATCCTTACTCAACCCAACCCTGCATTTTGTCTTCCGCTGCCTTTCAACAGAGTCTTGTTTTAACCAAACCTCCGTCTCTCTCACCGGGAAGGTTGTTGATGTACCCTCCGTCCATGAGCAGGTGTCCATCTTTGGGATCGCAAAGAGGCGGCAGGTAGCCGGACAGGGACATACTGGCTCGCACGTAACGCCACAATGAACCTGAAGAGGAGAGACGGGTGCTCAGTTACAGGTTCACCAATGTTTTCAAGCTTCCAGCTCCTATTTATTCAAGGAAAAAAAGTGTGTTTTGTTTTTTCCTAAAAAAGAAGAAGTTAAAAGTAACACACCGTATGTGTGAACTCTCATAGAGGAAGCTGTGATGTCTGTAGTAATGGCGAAGTACGGTAACCACAGGTCCTGTCAGGGGAGAGGTGACAAAAACAGTTTAAAAACATTAGTAATATTAAATTAGTTCCCCAAGGTCTGCGATAATAAATCCGTAAGCCACAGCTGAACCTGTTAAGTGGCTCGTAGCAACACCTTTCTCCAAAATCCTAAGCCTTAACAGCCTCATCTGCCTCTTTCTTTGGGTATTTTTTTGGTATTTTGAGAGCAATCGCATTCGGGAACTTCACCTCTATCTGTTGGTCCTGGAAGATCGAGCTGATTCCGGAGTTGAAAGAGGCTCCAGAAAACATGGAGGTGACGGGGTAGGTCAGATCCAAGATTTTCTTAAAGGGAGAAGTCATTTCCTGGAAAAGAGGAAGAAGCAAAATGGAGCGTCTCCATAAAAAAATGACAGGACGGGTCAAAAACAACAGGACGAATGACTGTTGTCATGGTGATATCGGCTCACCATGGCCCATTCCCGAGCCCGGACCCTCATCCGGCTGTTGCTCTTCTCGTCGGCGTACAGCGCTCCCATGAAGGCGCCGATTGAGGTCCCGCCGACCATGTCGATGGGGATCCCCGCCTCGTTCAGCGCGCGCAGGATGCCCACCTGAGAGCAGCCTCTGCAATCAGAGTAATTCGCTTCTAACCAACTGTTTCAGAAACAGCTCAAATATGAAGCCAAGCAAGTCCCCCAGGCTCCCATCCACAAGCAGTGCTAATCGTGGCCTGCCTGGGGCAATGTAAGCACACAGTCATCACATAATAGAACTGGTTAGCATTTTATAAGATATGCTACAGTATTTCCTGTATCAGGACTGTTTATTTTGGCTCGTATATTCTGTTTTGTCATCGGTGTGTGTGCCTGACCACAGACGTAATAACTTGTGAAATCTGTTTTTGTAATGGCAGCAGCTGCAGAGTTCCGCAAAAATACATCTCAGGTAGAAAAGTTACTGAAGACAGACTTCAGTTGTGCTGTTAGCGTGTTGGTGGTGGGCAAGCCAGGAAGAATAAGTCCATTCTGACGTAAACCGTCCACTTTCTGTGGTCAGGAGCCTACCCCCCTGCTTTGGTCATAGCTCAAAGGAGACAGCCCCTACCTTTCTGGATCTCCAGGGCAAGTCAAGACAGTGAAGAAAAGAGATGCACGGATTATAAAATCAAATAAATGACCACGGTGCGTCACTCACGAAAACAAAGACACATAAACAGCCAAAACTGAAATCCATCCATCCATCCATCATGGTTACCGCTTATTCCCTAATGGGGTCGCGGGGAGTTCTGGAGCCTATCCCAGTAGCCAATGGGCGAGAGGCGAAGTACAACCTGGACAATCCGCCAGTCCATCGCAGGGTCACACAGAGACACACAAGGACCAATAACCACACACACTCACACTCACTCCTAAGGGCAATTATGAACATCCAATCAAGCTAACATGCAGGTTTTTGAACGGTGGGAGGAAGCCGGAGAACCCGGAGAGAACCCCCAGACACAGGAGAACATGCAGACTCCACCGAGAAAGGTTCCGGTTACCCCGGGGACTCGAAACCAGGAAGCCAGAACCTTCTGGCTGTGAGGCGACAGTGCTAACCACCACACCACCTCGCCGCCCAAAACTTAAATGACTATATTCCCTTCTTTGCGCTTCACTTAGAAACACGGAGCCTCCGCCTGCCGTCGGAATACCTGGCGCCCCCTCCGCCCAGCACCAGGGCGATGCTGTTCCCGGTCAGGATCCGGGCCAGGCGGGAGAAGTCGGAGAACCGGTCGGGACATTTCTCGAACACGCGCTGGTACAGCTCCCTCTGAAAAAACCACGACAAATCAGGTAAACAAAGCTTTTTGCCTACCGGGGTCGGCGTCCCCCCCCTCCCTTAGATGGATCAACAGAGTGCCGGTACCAGCTTGGGTAGGCTCCTCTTGGAGAACACCCGGCGGGGGCAGGACAGGTGGTGGTGTCTGGAGATCCAGCTCCGCATGTTGAGCCACTCGGCCGTGCCGCTGGGGGGGGGGCCGTCCTCCCTGTGCAGCAGCACCAGCTGCTTCTGGGCCCGCACCGAGCTGCTCTCCAGCATCCGCTCCAGCTGCAGCCACAAACAGAAAAACAGGGCTGGAACGCTTTATTTCACCCCATGACAGAGTTCTTGGATTCTATGGAGGGGCCCCAAATGGATTCCAAACAGACTCAGATAGATGTGATTAAAGAAACAACCACGGTTAAGTTATTAGACAATACGACCAGAAACAGAAAGGATGATAAGGCAGACTTTTAAACATACAGTGGGGGAAATAAGTATTTGACCCCTTGCTGATTTTGCAGGTTTGCCCACTTACAAAGAATGCTTATTTTTTTTAATCAGATGATTATCAATTTTTATAAATTCATATGATGTGATTTTCTGGAATTTTCTTGGGGATTCTGTCTTTCACTGTGAGAATGTACATATGATTAAAGTTATAGATCGTTGCATTCTTTGTAAGTGGGCGAACCTGCAAAATCAGCAAGGGGTCAAATACTTATTTCCCACACTGTAAATGCTAAAAGTGTGTGGGTCGTTCGGTCGTTCGGGGTTCGGTTCGGTTTTTGGGCGCCGGTCAGAGGCTGAGCGGGTGAAGTGGCACTGACCTCGCCCACCGTGGGCTCCTGCTCGCCCAGTCCCACGATGATGATGCAGTCGGCCTGGCGGATGCAGCGCTGCGTCCACGGCGTCAGCCCGGAGTCCGACTGGTACAGGACGATGCGGTGGATGTCCTCCTGCTGACCCAGCCAGCTGGACAGCCGGTATTCATGGATACTGTCAGAGAGAAAGCGCAAACAAATCCTTTTGTGACCAGGAAACATTATGCCATCAACACATTTTTCTATATCATATGTGAAAAATACGATTTACTAAGACTAGTGTTTTCTCTCTCTGGTTTGTAGTTGTTCCTCTCTACTGTTAGATACTATATAAATCTACAACTGAATAAGCCCTCATGTTACTGAACCATCCCCTGTTTAATCACCAACGGCCTACCTGTCCAGGGCGGCCGAGCCCAGTCTCTGTTTGATGTTGTCGCTGGTCAGGAGGAGAGCAGGGCCTTTGAGAAAAATCGCCAAAAGGTAAAAAGAGAGAAACTGTTTACCGAATGAAATCTCCCCTGACAATGTAATTGTGCATGTCGCAATGTTTGGAGGCTAAAAGGACGCTTTGGTTCTTCAGTTTAGCTTCCTTCCATAAGTGCATTTGCTTTAATATTCCCTCAGTTCATAGTTCCAAATGTTACCAACACAAAGACTGAGATGTAGCTACTCCCATACATTTACAGGCAAGAATTCGGTGTGTGTGTGTGTGTGTGTGTGTGTGTGTGTGTGTGTGTGTGAGACCATACCGATGCCACTCAGTGCGTGTTGTAGCTCTAGAGTGAAGGCTGTGAGGGGCACTTCCTCTGACACAGGCAAGATGGCCACAGTGGACAGATTGGAATCTGGATTCCCTGTGTCCCACTTACTCATGGGTGTCTGGAGAGTACGGCCTATGGGACAGATTTATTTCTGTTATGGTTTATCTTAGACCGAGAGTACATACGTAGCAGAAAGTCGAGTGAACATTTTTTAATTTTGAATCAAAGGTTGCTGAAGAACATCAAATAAAATCTTTACAGAAGATTAACCATTAACCTCTTGAGACCAAGATATCTGGCATTTATAGGACCTAATAAGTTTAATAATTAGACTTTGTCATAGTACAGGTAGTTTTCTTCATATAGGTTCAGCAGGTTTATCTTTATATTTACATTTTTTTAATATATATTTAATTAAATGTGACAGTCCAAATGAAAAAGAAATGCAATGTCCTCATATGAGGACGCAGGCTCTCAGGAAGTTAAGGAATCATACATGATAGCTAAAAAAATAACGAAGCAGACCGTTAGTTATTCAGAGGTTAACCGGGTTTCTACATGGCACTGGATCCGAAACATTCAAACAAAGAGCCACTACCTGCCAGGGGCCCGTTGACCTGCTGCATTTTGCCCAGAATCTTCTGTCCCAGCACGTGGATCAGCCTGGTGACGACCTGAGGATACCTCCTCTTGATGGAGTTCAGAGCTCCCTCGGGCAGCTTGGCCAGCTCCGAGTCCCTGACCGCGTGGATGGTGGTGGCTCGGTCCAGGTGCGTCAGGGCCTCCACCTGAGGGCCCACCAACGGGAGGCGTGAGGGCGGAGCCTCTCGGGGCTGCGGGGCGTTTTCAGGGCGTGCGTTAAAACTTATGAGGGGCTCACCACGCCGATCAGATCCCCGCGGCCATACTCCCCGGCCAGCTCCTTCTTCCCGTTGTCCTTAGCTATGACGGAGCGCAGTCGGCCGCTGAGGACGATGTAGGTGCTGTCCGGCTTGTCCCCTTGTCTGAAAGCACATTCAGAGTCAGAGGAAAAACAGAGGCTGATATACTCTCTTAATAATAATGGCTTCAAAAGTAGAATGGGAGCCAGAGCGTTCAGTTATCAGAGTCCTCTCAAGGTTCCAGTTTGGGTCCGGGAGGCAGAACCCGTCTCTATATTTAAGACTTTCCTTTATGATAGAGCTTATAGTTAGGGTAAGTCAACCCTTAGTTATGCTGCTATAGGCCTAGACTGCCGGGGGATTTCCCATGATACACCCTGTCCTTTCTCTTTCTTCCTCTCAGTGCAACCTCATTCCATTAACGCATGTTACTAATTGGACTTTTTTCCTTTTCCCGTAGTCCTGTGCTTTCTCGTCCCTCTCCTCTCTCCTCTATCTTTCTATCACTTCCTGCAGATGTTCATGCCTCTGGAGTTGTGAAAGCTGGATCTGTGATAGGGAGTCTCCAGCTGTCCCCAGGTTCCTACTCTGCCACATTTACAACCACTGTTCATAGTCTTATTGCTATCATAACTGCTATTATTATCATTACTATCAATATCTTTGCCATTTTTCATCCAGTCTACGTGTTACTATGTAGGCTCCCTCTCTCTGTCCTTCTCTCCCTCTCTCTCTCCTCTGTATCTCACCCCCAACCGGCCGAGGCAGATGGCCACCTACCCTGAGCCATGGTTTCTGCCTGTTAAAAGGAAGTTTTTCCTTGCCTGTGTCGCCTAGTGCTTGCTCTTGATGGGAATTGTTGGGCTTCTGTAAATAACCTGCTCTGGTTGGAAAGCGCTGTGAGATAACTGCTGTTGTGATTTGGCGCTATATAAATAAAATTGAAATTGAATTGAATTGAATAAGAGGAAATAAGAAGAAGTAGCCAAACTAGAATAAACAATTGAAAATCCCAGGGTGTACATGCCTGTAGACGGCACGGCCGGCCTCCACTGCCATCCAGTCCAAGGCAAAATCGATCTGCCTGACGAACGGCGACACCCTCCTAACCACGGTGTGAGCCACGTTCAGCACCACCCTCGGCTCCTCACGCATTATTCTGCATTTGTGAGCACAGGCGGGTTTACAACGAACAGGGGGTGGATGAGAGGGGGAAAAAAAAAAGCAACCCAGGCCGAGGATAAATGCTTGCGTGCGGTGTGGGCCCTACTCGTAGAAGTGGGCCTTGGATATGGAGAGGAAGGTGCAGTCCCGGTGGGCTCGCACGGTGAAGATGAGGGGCTCCCCCGTGAGAACAGCCAGGTGACCCACCATCTCTCCGGGGTGGGTGGCGAAAAGCAGGCTCTCCTCCTCGCGGTCGATCATTCGCTGGCTGACATGGAGCAGTCCTGATATTACAAACGCCACGCTCACGTCCTGTAGGGGACGGGAGCGGGAGGATTAGATCTGAAGTGAGCAGAACACCGGTGCTGGTTTTTCAAGTTGATTTTTTTACTGGTTTGGCTCAGACTTGATGGTTGTTCTACAAAAATGTCATGTATTTCACCAGTGTGGCAAAACATGTTTGTTTTTCTGTACGTTTTGCATTTTTTCCCTTATATAAAACGGAAAGTTATCCGTAGATTTTTAAAAACAGACAGCATTAGGGAAGCTCATACTTGAATGTAGGCCTGTTTTATCTGTCTTTGTGTCGAAGTGGCGCATGGTGTAACAAGCGCTTACACCATAAACAGTGTGAACATTGGGACATTAGTTGAACTACGTTACATAAAAAAACAGATCTTGGTTCGGGCACATCAGGCTCACCTGGTCTCCTTGGTGGGCTACAACTGAGCCAGCTTTGACCTGGCGAAGTGTCACCCTCCCCTCCAGCAGACTGGGGTCCTGGAGACATCCAGAGGGAAATGAAAGAGACAAACAGATGGATTCAGGTACATCTTACTATAACGGCCACGTAATTCCAACTACAACTTCAGTAACATACAATAATTCACAATCCAGATAGATAGATAGATAGATAGATAGATAGATAGATAGATAGATAGA